GGGGAATTGCGGGGTCCGGCACCCCAGCCAGCAGGCAGGTCCGGGCACTGGCAGGGAGGACACAGGGAGCCCCAGCCCCGATCCAAACCTCGAAACACTGCAGACACAGATCACCGGGCCCCGTGTCTGCCTGATTCACCGAGAGCCTGCTCAAGGGGAAGCCGCTGCGCTTCAGCAACGATTCCCAGGCACCCAAAAGCTGGTGCCCGCTGCCATGCTTGCACTGCACGAGTTACACAGATAAAGTAGGAAATAAATAATTTTTAAGATGCATCATTCACAAGGTAACCAGCAAAAAAGTAATCTCTGCCTCGATATGTGCATCCTGCTCATTTTGGCATCACACATAAGCACCCAGGATGGCCCAGAGCTTGGAGAATTGCACAGTCAACCCTAGCTACAGACAGGAGGAACGTTTTTGCACTCATGGAAGGACGTAGGTGTTTTGCAAAGGCAGTACCCCAAGAAGGAAGCCAGCAGCAAGGCTCCCTCTCTCTAGGGCAGCTGAATTTGAGTTGAAAGCCCTTGTACATTGACAGCGTCACAGACCCCGCTTGCTGGCCTTTCGGTGTCCCCTTCCCAGCTCCAGAGGAACCTAGGCTGTTGCAGCTCATTGACTGGGCAAGCAAGTGAACCAAACACCACTAGGAGGGATTTAATTTTTAAGATGACACAACTGTATTTCTAAAGTTTTTACCCTCAGATCTTGCAAGCTCACAGTACCTCCTCTGCACCTTCGCTGTTTGTGCAGCCATTCAAAGACAGCCCTGATTTACCACCAAAAGCAAATCTTGCTGGGGTATCCTTGGAGCCTGGGGCTTCCCTGCAGGGCTCTGCAAAGGCAGAGAGACCTCTTCCCCTCAGGGGCAACACGATCCCTGTGAGATTCTGCAGCTGGAAAACGATTCCTACAAGGTACAGGGAAAATGGCTAGGTTCACCCCCCACCCGCAGGTGAGCACCTACCCTTTCCCCCATGGTGCCCACCTCCAGAGCCTGCACACAGAGATAAATAGCCCCTGGCTGGAGCCTGTAACCAGACAAGTTTAGACTGCAAGTGAGGCACCAGGTTTTTAAGCAGCCACTGTCATTAATCACTAGAACAAATCACACAAAGAGGCAGGGGTGCAGTCTGTACCACAGCACCTCCCTGGGGCTGCCCCAGACAATGGATCAGCACTCACTGGGCTTAAAGGGAGCCGAAAAGGTCTGGTCCAGCAGCACTAAGTTGCCAAGCCCACGCAGAAACAGCCACTATGTATTTACAAAAAGCCCCCAATGCCTGGAGCTGGGACAAAACAGGGCCCTCTGTCCCCAGCCCTGGCTCAGGACAGCCTGAGCACCCTTCCCCTCATCCTAAGCAAGGGGAATTTCTTCCCATCTCCCACCCCAAGAAAACATACAGCTCCCAGCAACTCACCCTGGGATGTTCAGCCACTTTGCTCAGAGTCAGCCCTCAGAAAACCTCTGTTCAGCCTGACAGGATAACAAAAAAGGAGGCTTACTCTGTGGCCTCCCCTCTTGGCAGGGCTACAAGCTGCCTCAAATTCACCCTTCTGGAAAAGCAGTCAGGACATGCAGCACACCCAACACACTGGACAGTTCTGTGAGGCTCCCCTGCTCTTTAATCTGAGTGATCATCCTCAGCTGTGTGTGCACAGCCACACTGGGTGCAGCTGGACCCCCACCCCGGCAGTTTATTGCAGCTCCAGGCTGTGTGCTTGGTTCAGCCTCTTGTCCCAAACACACTAAGTTCCTTTTCGTGACAGGCTGAGATAGATCATTTATTAGTATTTAACAATACTAAATGGCACCAGTGGCTTTCTAACCTGTTCTCTGGCTTGGGTTAGCACTTTCAGAAGCTCTTTGCAGTCTTCAAGTCTTAACTGTCCAAGAGCATTTTATATTCATTTGCATGCAAAATTTGCTGCTTCAGCCTTGACTGACTTTGCAAGACCCTAGGAGATGTTAAACACAGGTGATTAGATAAGACATGATTCTGGCAAATTATTAGACACATTTGTAGGAAGCTAATATTCTTCCTATTTCATGAACAGAGAGACTGGAGACCAGAGGTCACATGACTTTGCTCAAGACTGCAAAGAGCTAAAGGTAGAACCAGAAATAGAGGTCAGATCTCCAGGCTCCTATTACTTCTGCCCTGTCCCTAACATACACTTGCTTCTACTCTGTATGGCTGATTTAAAATGAAAATGAAGAATTCACTTCCAAGCTGGTTTTGGAATGAGAGAAGAAGGGGTGATACTGTCTACTGTAAGGGGAGAATTAAAGATGACATTTTGTTTTAGTCCTTTGGATATGCATAATATAATCAAACACAATAGCAGTAATAAATGAATATTTTTTCTCCCCACGGTGCTTACGAGTGAAACATATTCTAACAATTTCTCAAAACACTGTTGATAAATTGGAAACACGGTGATGGAGGTAACAAAGACAGCCAACAAAAACATAATCCAGTCAATTTATCAGAGGGACTAGCTTTGAGAAGAGAACCCTTGAAATCTGAACAGTCCTATTCTTATAAACCAGACATAATACATTTCAAAATATAAAACTACATTTTTTATGCCCGTGCATGAGCATGTTAATTAAAGATTTGCCCAGGCAATCAGGGCTAAATAAATTATTTGGATGTATTTCAGCAATTCAGTTCAAGATGGCAGAGGCAGGGTGCGTACTGGAAAGCCATGACATGTGGAAGCACAGGGGGAAATAGTAAAGCGGCAAGGGCAAGGTGTTTCAATTTACCAAGGGCCAGGTGTTTCAATTTACCAACCCTACTGACTTTGCTATCATGAAAAAGCAGTTCCTGCAGGGCCTTCCTCCCACACACTGCTCACCCACCATGCAAGTGACTGCCTTACACCACCATGTCAGAAGACTAACCCATTGGACGTGTGTGGGCATGCGGGGTTTCACATGATCTGGAGTGTTTTTCAGTCCATTGGGCATACCTGGGACATAAGACATCAGAAACTGTCCTGTGAAAACATTTATAATTTCTTTAAACATACAAACTGCATGCAAGAAGAGGAGGGCAATATAGATGATAAAAGGAACATTCAAAGTTTAGTCCAATTTTTGCTCAATTGCAAAGGAAAAAACAGTAAAATTATACAGCAAGAGAGGTTTGTTTTCTACAATGTTTTCAGTTTGAAAGGTGGCTCAAAAAGGTAGAAAAGTACTGTCATAACTGTAAGCAGAGTCCAGCCCCAGAACTGCAATGCCATCTCAACTGTTCAGCACCACTTACAGTATTACAAAAGTCTGAATTAGCTGGGAAAAAAAAGGAGTCACAGTGTTGTTAGAATCATGGCAAACAAATTTTGAAAGGCCCATCCCTTGGATTTTGTGAGTGGACACTAAGAAGAGACCAAAAGAAAAGCAGCTTTTTTTTAGTTGATAAAACTTTGTGGAACTTTAGAATTATGAAGTGTCCTTCTGAAGTTAGAAAGAAGTCATTGATAAGACCATCTAAATCTAAAAATAATTTGGATAAATCCCTTCTAGCTTCCTAAGATGCCTAGATTATTTCTTTGTGATATAACAAAGCCATCAAGGAACCCTGGAAAATTAGAAGAGATGGATAAGAGCTTAGTAACAGCAAGAGTTCAAGATCTCTATTATAAATGAAATTATAAGATTACTAAGGTTATTGTAACACATCCATTACTGGGGAGTCAAACCAAACCTCAGCCAAACTGAAAATATTAGGGGACTGTGGTAGTTTTTCTTTTAAGCTAGGAGGTAGCGAGTGTGCAAAAATTTCCTGAATTTGACTTGGAATAAATCAATCACAGCTGAACTCAAAATGGAACAGAACAGAAAAAACATCACTTAAAAAATGTAGTATACAGTAAACACGATAGACAGTGATACTGTATGAACAGAAGAAATGATCCAGAAGTTATGACTTTGGGAAAATTCATTGACCTTAGATGAGAACTTTGCCCAAGTGAAGCACTTGTGTGGGTATTATAAAGTAATATACTGGATAAAATAACTCAGATTGAAACATAATTCAGCAGATGGAAAATGTGATGATTCAGGAGATCAGCAAGACAATGACTACGTCTGGTGGAATTACACATACTCTGAGCGTTATTGTGTCCTGGGAAGAATAGTTTATGTCACCTTTGATGTCAGGCAAAAATTCTCCCAACTGGGCATACACTGAAGCACTGATCTGCACAAGCAGAGGGAGTTTGTGGACACATCCTTGACCCATCAGACTCACCAAGAACGCAATAAAGCAGGGATTCACACAGGTGTGACAAAACCAAGGCACAAATAGCACCAGGTCTATTGCACTCAAACCTGCCACAGTAGAAACACATTCAGAAGTAGCCAGGAAGGACTGCAGGAGTTATCTCTTCCTTCTCCCCGCTAGAAGGCAAGATCTATTATACATAGATTATTCTTGGCACAAATCTTTCTGCCTTGTTCTGAAAGATCTCAACACAGAAACTCCCCATGCTCATCTGAAAACATATTCCAATGCTTTGCACTCTGTACTGGTAGTTTTTCTTAACATCCAACCTCAGTCTGTTTTGTAGTGATTTAAGCTCTTAATGTCTTACTTTCTC